ATTGTCATTCTTTCCTGGGTTAGTTGCTTGTTCCATGCTGAATTTTGCTTGTCTATTGTGGGGTGAAAATTAGTCTCATTTCTTCTACTGCATATTTCCAGAGATCATACATTAAGGGACAATAAGATTTGATTCAGTTTCTGCTGCTTTGGTGTTGGGAAGAAACATATAAGCTTGTGATTGGATTCTATTCATTTTCTTTTTAGAATATTGATGATGACTTTTACTTTGCAAAGAATAAATACACTGAAAATAGTAAATCAGTCAGAAATGATATCTTCAATTATTGCTCATCCTCTAAAATGATAATGAGGATTAAAATAGGATATCATATATCTTGCTCAATTATGGATTATTCTTAGCTTGACATGTCAGCTCTTTATGGCAACAAAAATGGAAAAAAATCCATAAATGTCCTTCAAAGTGTTGAATGGAGTATAACTGAATTATCCCCATGGTGCTTCACTGCTGATAATTGAGTTTTCTTCGTTAATAACGTAGAAGTAATCTTTGGACCAATACATATAAGTTGTAAAGTTATTATGAATGCTATTCCTATCATTTATTTTTAAAACTAGAATTAGATTTCAGTGTAGAGGGGGTTCTTGCATTCTAGAAGAACAGAGAAAAATATACTTAATCTCAGCTTCTCCGGTAGCATTCTTAGATTAGTCATAAGAATATCGCACTGAGTGCTCCCATGCCAATTTCTTACCATTCATGAAGATTCTACAAAGTTCTTTTTACCATCTTAAGTGATGATCCCAATTGGGAACTTCTAGTACAGGTTACTATCAGATCACTATTAACCAGGAGACTCTAATCTCAGGTTTCTGATTTTGGCCCTGTGTGTTAAAACGTCTACATGGATCAGTCCCTTTGAAATGCTACAGTAAACATAATCTTCACCAGCCTTTTACACTCAGAAAAATGAGAGCAGAAACATTTTATATCAACTGATTTCTTTTCTTTATAAAAGATGGAAATAACCACATATCTATTACTGAATAGAAATATTGTCCTGTTTGATTTTTATAAGCATTAAAATGGCTGGAAGACTGAAGTAGTTAAGACCCTATACATTCTGAGGCTCTATTTTATCATTTCTTCAGAGAAACTATGCATCATAGGCTGGCCATTGAACTCACAACACCCCTGACAGCCTCCCAGCTGCTGAGCTTGCAGATGCGTGCCCCCAGACCCAGCTCTTCATAATGTTGCTGCCGAGTAGGATTACATATCTAAAAATTACCTCATATTTGCATTCATTATTCTTATAATCAGGCTATTAAAATAAAGAAAGTGTATTTAGACTTAAAAGGTAGAGGAAAAGTATGATTTTTGATTAGCTTAGAGTAAGTTGATACGTGCTTCATATTGCAAATATCATGAAGATTCTTACTACATCAAAATGGTACACAATGGAATTAAAGATTAAAGTAGGAATATTTTCAAAAACTAGATTGATCTAGAAATTATTACATGAGTTAATTCAGACTTATAAAGATAAACGAATGTGTATAGATGTCACCATATCGCAAGTATAGATTATGAAACCATGAAGAAAAACATGAGAGAGAAAAAAGACGAATGTGTATAGGTATCACTATTACCGCAGGTATAGGTTATTGACCCATAAAGATAAACATGAGAGACAAAAAAGAGGTTTGAAGGAAGGTAGAGAAAGGAAATAGAATAATGTAAAATGAAAGTTAGAGGACAGAACTAGAATTGCAGGCACAGGGAGAGAAGAGTTTTGATGTGGGATTCCCCTTTATATGCTATGAATATGTTTTATTACCATTGGTTAATAAAGAAGCTGCTTTTACCTATAGCACAGGCTGGAAGAGCTATGGAGTGAAAGTAGGCAGATTTAGGGAGATGCCATATAGTTGCCGAAAAAGCAAGATGCCAGTCAGAACCATACCTGTAGGCCACAGCCTTGGGGTGATTCATAGATTAATAGGAATGGGTTAATTCAAAATGTAAATGCTAGCTAGAAATATCCCTGAGTTGAGGCTGGAGAGATGGATCAAGCGTTGAGAGTACTGGATAGTCTTCCAGAGGTCCTGGGTTCAGTTCCCAGCAACCACATGGTGGCTTACAACAATCTATAATGGGATCTTCTGCACCCTTCTGTCCTGCAGACATATGTGCAGGTAGAACTCTGTATACATAATAAATAAATAAATAAATAAATAAATAAATAAATAAATAAATAGATAAATAAGATGAGATATTTTTTTAAAATTCTTCAAGAACTAGCAAAATATTTTACTTAAAAAATGCCTGAGTCATCGGGCAAATAGTGCTATAATTAATATAGTTTCTGTGTGATTATTTGGGTATGAGGGGCTGGGAAATGAACAAGCAGCCTTTGTCTACAGAGTTTTTAAAAGCTATATGTGCAAATACGAAAACAAAATGTATTACTTTGTATGCCAACTTTAAAAAAAGATAAAAACTTTAAAATGACAAAATTAGCCCTTTTTCCCATAAAAATCATCATCAAAGAAATCATCTCAATTTTCAGCTTAAGCTTTTGCAAGTAACTCCTTTTCTACCAAAGAAATTATCTAGCTGTAGGAAGTAAAATATATAACAGTCCAAACAATAACCATGTGCATAAATTACTAATAAGTAAACATGCTCGTTAATCTTTGGTTAATTTGACAGAAGATAGAATCATTTGGGAATAAGAACCCTCTACTGAGAAAATGCTACCACCAGATTTACCTGTACACAGTGAATAGGGAATTTTCTTGATTAATGATTGATGTGGGAGGGCCCAACAGTGTCAACCTTGAACAAGTGATTAATTTGCCCTAGGTTGTACAGAAACACAGGTTGCAAGTCCTAGGAAATAAGCCTTGTCAGTAGGCTGTAGTTCCTACTTGCGGGTTCCTTCCCTCCGTGCCTCTCTGCACTGAGTTTCCTCAGTGATAGATTTTTATCTGGAAGTGTAGGATAAAATTAATCATTTCCCACTGAGTTTATTCTGTGTCACGGTGCTCAATTCTAGCAGCAGAAAACTTAACTAAGATAGTAATATTTACATCATAACATAGACAGTTTGTGATAAGATGACACATCTGGGAATGTGCTATGGCAGGAGACCTGTTGATTTCCACTTCTACGTGAACACATCACAGACTTCCTGACCACTGTGCACTATGCTTTGCTCAGTCATGGAGTCTGAGCTCACATGGGTGATGGAACTGCTGCTGGCTGCCTCTGCCACTTTTACCATTATCCTGAGAAGAATTCCTTGTTGGTAGGCAATGGAACAAAACACTGTCCAGAGAACTTCCATCTTTAATACTAATAACTAGCTTATTTTGCAACGTGAAGGCCTGTGTCCTGGCCTTAGCTGAACTACTTATGAACTTTTTTGAAATGCAGATGATTAGGTCCAGCCTACTACAGAGAAATCAGAATGGGCGCTGAACCCAATACCAATGTTATCTCTTGTATGCTGATGTTTCAGACACTGGTCTACCCCACAATTGATGTCTCAGTCACTTTGGATCCTGAAACTGCACCTATTTGATTTTGAGGCCTTATTAGTTTTATTTATTGCTGTGTGGCTATAACACTGCTGGCATTAGAAGGTCTGTGAGGACACCCAGGGGAAAACATACCTGCTATGGCCACAGAGAAGCCATTTGGACATACTTGAGCCTCTCACACATATACCTCTGACAGTCTGTATTTTAAAGAATTTCCCTGACTTTGCGGCAACAAAATGATTCCTCAGTCTACTTGCTGAATTGTGTAGCATCTGCTTCATGAAATCAGGTTATCTCCTAAGTAATGAGTATACTAGAAATGGCAAAGGACACTGCTCAGTTCAGAAATTATAATCCTAAATTCTTGGAGAAAATAGCACCTAAGGATATGCAAAACAGACAATGACTAGACCACATATTCCAGAAAGTTCTCATCCCAACCCCTAGAACAACCAGTCTAAGAAGAAAAACCTTACCTTGGCCACAGCCAAACTTGCATGAATGGTCAGCAACAGAAATGGAGCTGAGAGTTTCTCTACATTTTTGCCCCTGCCTTCAATAAAGCACCAACCATGGAAATGCAAATTTTTCAACTACTCACTTAAGATGCTCTTTGTAATTAGTCCAGTGGTCTTTTGGCCATCAGCCTCCACTCACTCCGAAACTGTAACTTTATTAGCAATGAAAGTCCTATATCCCATGAAACTCTCTAGTCATAAATACAGCTGGACAGTTAACCCTGCAAGAATCTACTTTTCTATGCAGTTCCAACACTCATCCCCTGTAGAAGTGGTTCCTTCTAGCAGAAATACTCTTCTCACTTCTCACTGACAGCTTATAAACCAAATGACCTCTTAATTTACCAAAACCTTGTCTAAAGAGCCGTTCCTGGGCAAAGCTGCTTTGTTAGCATTCTGATCTGTTATCCCAGAAGAATTCAGCGCACTGTACTGAAAGCCCCTCTGAAGTGATCTTTTTCATACATGTCACTTAGTATAGACATGATCTGGTCATGGTGGTTTGACCCTCCAGACAGTGGATTCCCCGAGAGACAGTGTTGTGTTCTTCCATTGCTGTCACAACTGCTCCCAGCCCAGGTTTGTCTCTCATGAATAAATAGACTGATGACTTAGCTAGTATATTTATCAGCTAATTAAAACTTTCTTTAAAATTTCTTTAAAATCTTCTTAGGAAAAGGGTATACAGTAAGAAGATGAGACAGGATATGTACAGTATAGTTTAGGCATCTTGTTTGTTTTGTTTTGTTTGTATGTTTGTTTTGAGACAGGAATTCTCTGTGTTGAATCAGAGCCTGCCCTGGAACTAGCTCCTGTAGACCAGGATGGTCTCAAACTCACAGAGATCCACCTGCCTCTGCCTCCCGAGTGCTGGGCTTAAAGGTGGGCACCACCACTGCCCGGATGAGTTTAGGCATCTTATAAGGAGATAATGAACAATGAATTAAAATTGATTATCCAGACATTTATTTACCTCGATCTGGGTGTTGTTGTCCTGACCATCATCCAGTAGCAGGTCAGTGAAGCCTCTGGGCTCTGCTGAGTCTTGACCCAGGCTGGCTCTGTTTGTGTCGACTGCCTTGAAAGGGTCCGAGTTTCTTTTCCATCTGTGGCTGTATGCTTGTGAGTCCACATCCACCCCGTCGTCTCTCTGAGGAAAGGCCTTTGAAACATCATACTTCCAATCTGAAAGAGAAACAGGCGTGTTACCTCTAGGTGTGACTCATATACATAATACCTATTAGAGTAGAAAATATACTTCTGTTGGTCATTAGAATCAAAAATAATGATCATAATGAAACCAAAGTACTTGCCATATTAGACTCGGTGTGGAAATCTGAGTGTTACAGTTTAAACATGAAATATATCTCCAGATTCATATATAGGATGCTTGGTCCACAGATAGTTGGCTCTAGAACAGAGTCTCACTAGAGGAAGGAGGTGACTTGGTGTGTCTTTGAAGGTTGCGCTTTATCCCCAGTTCCCTTCTTGCTTTTCTGCTTCCTGACTATTATGGGATGAACAGCCTCTTAGCACACATGCCCCCATCACCATGATGCTATATTCAAAGGCATGGGAAACTTGAATGGGGAACCTCTGAACCAGGAATCAAATAAGTTAATCTTCCTTTTTTATTTATTTATTTATTTATTTATTTATTTTTTATTATTATTATTTTGTTTTCTCAGTTATTTGATTCCAAGTAACATAAGCATAACTGATATGCTGGGTATCGTGGGACTTCAGGGTACACTATAAAATGAACCAATGACTCCTGTGGTGATCTCTAAGGGGCTCTCAAACATACAGCTCTACACAAATGCATATATCTTCCCTCTGTATGTACACACATACACACACACACACACACACACACACACACACACACACACACACACAGAGAGAGAGAGAGAGAGAGAGAGAGAGAGAGAGAGAGAGAGAACTGTTCTGAGAAAGCAAGAATCCTAAAGACTGAAAAAACAGACAGCTTTAGCTTATTTTAAAATAAATGGCATGATGAATGTGTGAGCTTAGGCTGATTTTACATACCAGGCTGCAAAGGCACAATGATGTGCTTGAATAGGTTAAGCATAGTGGAATTTTCTTCCTGTAAATGTGCTAACCTATCCTGTAGTTTACAAGCCAGACTTAGTTCATTGCTTGACTCATTTGATAAGCAGCCCTCTCAGAGGCATCACAAACATGCTTGTTCATTTGCACTGTCCTCACCTTGGGAACCTGTCAGGGTGGGAGAGGAGGACATTGACAGGCACTTACAGAAATGGATGGGACAGCAAGGAGATCAAATCACAAAGGTATTTTAAAGCCATCTGCAAGGACTGGCCTTGCTGACCCAGCTCCTCCTGTTACTACATGAGGGAAAATTAGATTTAATCATGACTCCTAGTCTTTCATTTCAGTAGGTCAGTAGGGGATAGAATAAAGCAAGGGCTGAAAATTCAGTTTCCAAGCAAGAGGAACAGCCTTCTGCCCAAGCATTACCAAAAGATAGGAATTGGCACCCTTTATATCCGGTCTGATATGGGTTCACAAAGGGCCAAGAGAACACTGATTCAATCATGGATGTGGTGTTCCTCTCAATACAAGAACGTTTTGTGAAAGTCTGTTATTGAGTTTAATGCAGAATCAGCAACTCATAAATTCAGAACCTATGGGCCACCACCACCACCGTTTTCCAGCAACCACAATGGCTAAACATACCTTGGTTACAACTCAAAAAGTTTCTGATAATCCTTCCAAACAAGACAGGGCAGTCTAGTTTTACTAAGACCTAAAAGATATTTTTGAAGTCTGATATGTTGGGGGCTGGAAAGGTGGCTCAGAGGTTAAGAGCACTGACTGCTCTTCCAGAGGTCCTGAGTTCAATTCCCAGCAATCACATGGTGGCTCACAACCATCTGTAATGAGACCTGGTGCCTTCTTTTGGCCTGCAGGAAGAATATAGGCAGAATATTGCATACATAATAAATAATAAATCTTTAAAAAAAGAAAACTTACAAAAAGAAAAACTAACTAACTAAATAAATAAATAGTGATGTGTTGATATCTTAAGTCTTAAGAGAAGCCTTACCTTGTACTAATAGCATGTCCATTGAACCCTATGAAGAATCATGGGTACCAAATTTCTACCAGGAGAAATCTTGGAGCCAGAAAGAGGAAAGACTGTGCTCTTATCAGTGAACTGCACACCAAAAGGGAGCTGTATGCTTTGTACATGACTGTACAGCATCACTCAGTGATTCTGCATGCACTGAGTGTTCAAGAAGAACAACTAATTAGTGTTGTCAATTACACTGTGGAAAATAACTGTTTGTAACACTCTGCCTCTGCCTGACATTTGACAATAGTTCAGTGCTCACTGACTGAGGGAGTGATGGAGCGCACTACAGACATTCTCTTTGGCATAAGAGTTATAGGCCCAGGCAGAAATAAGTAAGATACCAGGGCTTCAACATTTTCTAATTTGTTTGCTGGTTATGGGTTCACGGTAACTTACAAAATTCTCTAGGCTTTAGTTATCCTGTATTTTAAGTCACATTGGACATAGCTTATCTGGAAAGGCAGACATCTTTTCTTAAGGATGTGTCTGGCTTTAAGAACTATGGTACTAGGCAAAATTACACGAAGCAATTTACTTGCCTCAATTGTATATCCAGCCTCATTATTGAAGATATACGAGGCAGCTTACAACAAAGCTAAGCAATAAAATTTCCTAACAACCACAGACCTTCTGGCACAAAGCTTAGGTTAACCTCAGAGATGTCAGTCTGTCTCCCAAGTAGGGTGGTGGGTCTCGGTGAGTTATGGCAGTGGTAAGCTGTGCCAAGTCTGCCCTGGCCCTTCCTTCCTTTCTCTTTCCCTCCCTTCTCCTTTCCTTCATCCCTTTCCTTCTTCTGTTTCTTTCTTTTCAAATCTTTTCATTTTTATTTTCTGTGATAAAGGTTTGCCAAGATGTACAGTCTGATCTGAGGCTCTGCCATCCTACTGCCTCAGCTTCCCTAGAGTATTCTGGGAATACAGTTGCATGTCATTAAGATCAGCCTCTTAGTTAAACAGTTTGGGTCCACTTCTCTGACATTAAGGTTACCAGTTCTCTTCAGGTATATCAGCATAAAACAACTCTCCCATGTCCCATGACCCATCTCAGGACCACCAGCCTTGTTCTGAGAGCCGGAATACAGGCAGAAGAAGCAGGCAGAATGACTATCAGTGCAAAGGCGCTTTCATTGATTCTATTTCTCAACCCCTCTTAAACCCCCGTCATCATTTCCTTCAGTCATTTCACTCTAAAAAATCAATTCGAAAGGGCTTCAGAACTTAGGAAAGATAATGTCCATGTTTCTCATTTAATCTGAAAACTTATTAATATGTTAAGCATTTGTTTAGTACTTAAATTCACTCCTTTGTAGGATTTGAGGGCAGTAGAAAGAGCAGATAGGTTTTTTTGAAAAACATTCTTATATAATCACATGACTTCTGAGGTCAGGGCTCTTGACAGTCTTGGCTTCATCTTTTTTTGTCATTATTTGGTAATATTTTCTGATCAGAAATAATCTGCTATTCATACTTTAAAATAGTTAATATATTCACTGTGTATATTAGTGTATAGTATATTAGTATATTAGTTCAATGTGGTATGTCACCCTTTGCTTCAGCATGCAGAGGCTCCATCATACAAACACAGTGATTGATCTACAGCCACACAGCATTGTGCTGGTAAATGCTTGTTCCTAATAGAATCTATTTCTGCAAACTGGTCAATTCTTTGCTCACTCTAATTGCATTTACAAGAAGTAAACAGACACTCAGGAAGGCCTGAGAAGTTTCCTAATGGGAAAATTGTGAGTTTGGGTTCTGGGCTTGCAAAAACCTGTTGGGCTGCCATTTTATACTGAATTCTATTTTCTCTGATAATATTATAAATAAGCAGGCATACTCAACCATGCATATAGAATTATCACTCTAGGTCCATAATTCAGCTAGCAGATGACTCAAGATGGAAGTGTGTCGTGGGTTTAGGTACTGATCCTGTTTCAGAATGTGTTTTAGCGAAAGAAACATAAATCAAAATGGATATTTTATAGAAATGAGGGAAGGAAAATTGGAAAAGTTACATTTGAGTTATCTATATTCTAATTACTTATCTGAATTTCATGGGCTTTCAAAATGCATACAAATATCTATTCTTTAAATTGACAACCAAACAAGTCATTTGGAGACAAGGCAGAGAGAACTATGGGACACAATGTTTTCCTTCCCAGCTTCGTTGAAAGCATGCACAATGGGACCGACCTCTCAGCACTATGCTCAGCAGACTGTCTGTGCTCTGTCCACTACATGTTACTTAAATCCCCCACAGAAAACCTTAAAAAAGAATTCTCCAACATTCCTCGCTACTGGAATTTCTCGGTTCATAGAAACATTGATTCTGATTAAAAATTTCCATTTGGAAGTAAGGGGAGAAAGATTCACAAACACATTTTTCTAAACTGTTACATCCAATAAGCAAATTGATATTAGTACATCTTTAGATAGTTGAATAAATTGAAGTAGAAGATATAGTGTTATTAGTGAATGCATTTCATTATATTTCCAATAAGACAGCATCAAAACACCTCACAATGACTAGTTAGCCTGAAAAGATCAGAATAATCCCAAGCATCCTCATGTGTTCTCTATAATCTCTATAGTTCCTTCTATGCCCTGGGGACGGCTCATCTTTATTGCCAAATTGATGGCACTTGCGATCACTTAGGAAACAAATCTTGTAGCACTCATCTAAGGGATTATCTAGACTTAATTGATAAATCTGGAAGACTTCATTAATGTGGGTAGGACTGCCCCATGTGCTGGGGTCTCATACTGATTAAAAAGGGGAAAGCAGGGAAAAGATCTTCACAAACCCTGCAACAGATAAAGGTCTGATCTCCAAAATATACAAAGAACTCAAGAAACTAGACACTAAAACTCTAATTAACCCAATTAAAAAATGGGGTACTGAACTGAACAGAGAATTCACTACAGATGAACTTCGAAGGGCTAAAAAGCACTTAAGGTCATGCTCAACCTCCTTAGCGATCAGGGAAATGCAAATCAAAACCACTTTGAGATATCATCTTACACCTGTCAGAATAGCCAAACTCAAAAACACCAATGATAGCCTA